TTGGAGCCTGTCATGGAACTAGCTCTTGTAGACTAGGCCTGCCTCTGCCTCCCAGAGTGCTGGCATTAAAGGCCTGTGCCACCACTGCCCGGCTTATTTTTCTATTTTTTGAGACACAGTCTCATATTGTCCTTCCTGGTACTGAAATATATACATACATACATACATACATACATACATACATACATACATACAGTTGAGAATGACCTTGAACTTCATCCACCTCCCTAATGCTGGGATTATAGTGTGCACCACAGCAAACTACTGTGGGTTCTCCTTTATATGCTTAGACACTACTGCCTCAGAGAGTAAATCCTATCTGTGTGGCACTCCGAGGTGCCTGTAATTTACCCTACCTAGTGGGTTCTGTTAGTTTTTGAAGTGCCTGAAGTGTTCTGTCAGGCAATGGCTCTTTATAAGCTGCATACCAGCCCCTACACAAGAGCATCTGCTCAGGGCTTCATTCAGTTGGTGAAAGCCACTCCACTACTCCACTACTGTTAGCCAAAAAGGGGATTAATAGTGGGACACAGATACTTACAGAACCATCAGGAAGATGGGAAGTGGGTCATGGCCAAACTACCATTGGCTCTGCCATCACCACAGCTGAGGCCCTGCCACCCAACCCCTTCCAAACTGTGGACAAGAGAGAGTAGTTAGCCTGTCTTGTAGCCTCTCTCATCTACCAGGATTGGCCAGTCAGCTGCTACAGCCACAGGAAGAGGCCTCTGAAAAATCTCACTGGCAGGACTTCATTTGCATGTCAGCCTGTACTCAGATGCTGAGGCAGAAGGATTGCTAGGTTCTTGACCAACTGTGCTACACAGCTGAGTCTCAAGAAAGCACGGGCTACGGAGTGAGACCCTGTATCAGAAATCCCGAATAACAAGAGTAGTTGGTTCACATTCCTTGCAGGGGAGTTGGGTATGCCATGGGAAATTTTTGAGTCTCTTCTAGTGGAGGAGAAAAGAATGGAGTTTGAGAGCATCCATTCAAGAACTCTTGGGCCCAGGCAGGTGGTGTGATGCATGCCTCAAATCCCAACAGAGGCAGGTGGATCTTTGTGGTTCAAGGCTGGTCTCTATAGGGTGAGTTCCAGGACTGCCAGGGCTACACACAGAAACCCGGTCTTGAAAAACAAAAACAAAAACCAAAAAACCTCCTGGGCCCAAGGTATGGCTGAGGGGATAAAGGTACCTGTTGCCAAGCTTGAGGATTTTGAGTTTGATTCCCCCGGACCTACATGGTGGAAGGGGAGAACCAATCCCACAAGTTCTCTGGCCTACACACATGTACACACACACACACACACACACACACACACACACACACACACACAGAGTAATAAAGTGTTTCAAAATAAGTAGAACCCAGCACTTCAGTTCTGAGACAGTGCCTGGTGGGGAAAGAACGGGGTCTTCATGGATGGGTGGGGGGTTTCCAATCACCGTATAAGTGACATTAAAGGGGGCGAAGGCCTGGGCGCCTGACAAGGTCTGACCAATCAGCCCGCTCTGCTCCATTAGTTAGTGATTGGTTCAGGAAGAGATGTGTGACACTTCAAGAAACAGCTAGGCCTTTGGGCCTTGGGAGACAGCTCAGCAGTTAAGGGCACATGCTGCCCTTCCAGAAGACCCAGGTTCAGTTCCCAGCATCCCACACGGTGGCTCACAGCTGCCTGTAATTCTAGTTCCCAGAGGATTCAACACCCTCTCCTGACCTCCATGGACACTGTACACATGTGTAGACATACATGCAGGCAAAACACGTATACACATAAAATAATTTTTTTAAATATTTGAAGTTTCATTTACTTTTATTGTGTGTGTGCACATGTGCCACGACAAGACAGTGCAGATCTGGGGACAACTTGCAGGAATCAATTCTCTCCACCCACCATGTAGGACCCGAGTATCCTTACCAGTTGAGGGCCCAAGGATCAGAAGTTCAAGGTCACCCTCTACTACAAAGAGACTTTCAGGCCAGCCTGGGCTACATGAGATCATGTCAGCAGTTCTCCCTCTACACTTAAACAAAATAAGGGTGTTTGTTTGTATTTGTGTGTGCTTTTATGGCATGTGTATGTATGTGTGTGTGTGTGTGTGTGTGTATGTGTGTATCCATGTATGTGTGTGTTCAATCCTGCGTGTGTGGTGGTGGTGGGGTTCTGGGCACACTGAGCTAGCTGGCTTGTGAGCTTCTGAGGATTCTTTGGTCTTCACCTCCCATCTTCCCACAAGAACACTGGCATCATAGACAGGCACTTGGGCTATGCATCCAGCTTTTATGTGGGTCCGCTTGTACTGAAGCCCTGCTACCCTTCTTAACCTTGTTGTTCATTTTTGAGAGTCTTGCTCTGTTATGGCTGGTCGGTCTTGAACTTGTGGCAATCCCCTCGCCTCTGGACTGCCTGTAACTCTAGTTCCAGAAGGATCTGATTTCTGATTTCTTCTTCTGGCCTCAGCAGGTGCCTGTGCTCGAGAGTACATATCACACCACCCCCCCCCCCACATACACATAATTAGAATGAAACAAATCTTTTAAAAAAGGAATGAAGAAGCAGGCTTCTGTATAGCCTAACCCTGATCAGTTAGGATAGACTGTTAGGCTGTGCTGAGGTCAACAAGAGCCCTGGACCATTTCTGAAGTGCTGGGATTACAGGCTGGTGCCACCCTGAGGCTTTGCTGGCTCTCAAAACAACAGGCTTAAGTGCTAACTTTCCTTTTCACTTTGAGTTTCATTTCCATTGAAAGGGGATGGTTGACCACAGGGAACCTCCCAGCCAACTAGACTCAGCTTACATGGGCTTCTGGTTGGAGAAAACTCCAGGACCTGCATGCCCTTAAACGCTTTGGTTTTCTTTGCCTTCAGAGTTTGAAATGAGATAGACCCGCCCAGAGATGCTATCTCACTTTAGCTGTTTATGCATTGTGCAATGGCCTTCTCTCTGGGTAGGCATCTGGAACTTTCAGAATAGCTGAGGGACGAGCAGGGCACCTTGCTACTTGTGATTTTTTTTTTTTTTTCTTTGACACAGGGTCTCACATAGCCAATGCTGCCCTTGGATTTACTGTTAAGACTAGGAATGGTTCAAATTGCTTAAGAACCTAGTACAGGCTAGACACTTTACAGAGACCCTGCCCTGAATCCTCATGGCAGAATATCATTCATCAAGAAGGAATGGGGGAGCCTCTGATTTACAGATAGAGAAACAGAGGTCAGAGGCCAGGCAACTTGTCAGAATGAAGAAGTGAAAGAAAGGAAGAGGCCAGATTAGATGTCTCAAGGGTCCTGTTGAGCCATGGCTATGGCCTTTTCCAGGACAAGATGCTTTATCCAGAAAAACCCATCCTACCCCTTCCAAACCCACTTTGACCTTGTATGTGTATTGCATTTTAAAATTTTGTAACATTTAATTTACTTATTCTGTGTGTCCATGTACACAAGTGCAGAGGTAAGCCCAATGAGTCACCATGACTGGTTCCTCTCTGAGGGTTCTGAGGCATCCTGCCTGAGCCCACCTATTTCATGTGGAGCCTGCTCTGTGCTCTGGGACTTCAAGAACTAGCCATCTGGTCCTAGCAGGTGCCTTGCATACATCTGCTGCTCTTATGGGTACCCAGCTCTGAGCTAGGTGTACAGACACAGCAGAAACAAAATCCCTGTCCTTGTGGGGCTCTGATCTGGGAAACCAAAAGGAATACATAAATGAAAGCATGGCTTTAGAGATGATGGGAAAGCCAGGGCTCAGAACACACATGACAGTGCAGAATGAGAAGTAGGGGTTAGTGGTCAAGGGCCTGCTGAGGTGACAGGCCACTTTTGATTTGAGCACTTACTGCAGAACTTGGATGACTTGCTTCTCTTTTTTCAGAAACTTCTGTTTTCTCATGTGCACAATAGGGACAAAAAAAAAAAAAAAAAAAAAAAAAAAAAAACCAAAAAACAAAAACTACCTCAGGATTTAGAGTGGGTTAACCGTCAAGAAGCTCTGTCTCCCAGAGTCTTTACACCGACAGTTGTCACCATTGTTCTGTCCTGTAGGATGTGACCTTGTTTGGATCTTCCCTTCCTTCCCAGCATTATATCCATGCTGTCCTTGGTGGGGTTTCTTTTTTCATTTTACAGCTGACACTCTTTTGCGTTCATGCTACCTACGGAAGAGGAGCCTTTATCGACTAGTGCAGACTGCATCCCATCCAAAGCATTCTCATATTCTATTGTTTTCATTATAGATTTCTTTTTTCTTTTCTCCACATGAATGCAGGTTCCTAGAAGACAGATTTTTATCTTTTTTTTTTTGCCCGTGGAGCATCCCCAGCCTCATAACTGGTACTTTATCATAAATGGTGACTGAAATGAATGGATGCACGAGGGCGAACACCAGTGTCTGTCCACCTCGCCTCGGCTCTCGCGCTGGGTGCATACTCCCGGAACCATCTCGTACTAGTACTGGCGAGACGCTTCCTGCCAGCATGGGCGGCGGCCGCGCGAGGGTCTAGCGCTAGAATGCAAGCGTGCGTCCTCCTGCCTGCCCCGCCCCCACACTCAGGCCCCGCCCCACAATGCGCTCCCAGCCTGTCGGCCCCACCTAGCCCCGCCCCATTACCTCAGGCCACGCCCTTCCCTCCTCCCCGTCAGGCCTCAGGCCCAGTCTCCGCCGAAATGCTTCTTAGGCTCGCGGCTTCGCTCTTATTCCTCAGACCCCGCCCTCATCGCCCCACTCGGTCAGGCCTCGAGCCGGGTCCCTGCCGGTGTGCTCCTCAGGCTCGCGGCGGCAGCCTTAGCATCAGGCCCCGCCCAAGTCCCGCCCCCAGCGTAGGCCCCGCCCTCCTGCGGTCCCAGCCAGGCTTGCCTCAGGCCTGGTTCCCCCAGCTGCTCCTCAGGCTGTGGGCCTTGCCCCGCCCTTCCCCGGCATCAGACCCCGCCTCTCCGCCCGCCCCTCCCGCCCCGCCCCGCCCCCCCGCCCCGCCCCCGCCGCTGCGCTCCCCTGGCCGCCGGCCCCCTCCCGCCTCATGTGGCCCGGCCCGCGGCGGCCGGCGGCTGAAAGCGGCGAGGCGGCGGCGCGCGAAGCCCGGAAGGCGGTGACCGAGGCCCAGGCGGCAGACCGGAGCGGCGGGAGCGGGGCCCGGGCCGGCTCTCGAGCGGCCGCCGGCTCAGCATGCGCGCCCGCCGGGGTCTGCTGCGGCTGCCGCGCCGCTCGCTGCTCGCCGCGCTCTTCTTTTTCTCGCTGTCGTCTTCGCTGCTCTACTTCGTCTATGTGGCGCCCGGAATAGGTAGGAAGGCGACCCCGCGGCCACCCCACGCCCCTTCCCGCCGCGGCCCGCGCCGCCGCCCCGGCCGGCCCCGCGCTCCGTGACTCGCCGTTTCCTGCCGCGCCGCCCCGCAGCTCGCCCGCACGCGCGGCCTCCTCCCTGACGCAGCCGCCCGCGCCCCCCGCGGCCGCGCGTTGCCGCTGCCCAGACCCTGCGGGGCTGCGGGCTGCGCGCCCCTTTCCCCTCCCCCTCCTCCTTCCCCGAGCCCGCTGCTCGCCCGCGGCTCCTCGTAGCGGACTGGACCTGCTCTAGGCACCGATGGGAAGTTCGAATTGGCCCTGGAGGAGGTGCTGTGACAGGGGCCTTGGGGATCCGGTGCCAGGTGGAAGGGAGGGGGCGCTCAGAGAAGAAACGGAATGGGTAGCGATTCTTCTCCAAGGCCCGCCCTTTAGAAGGGGAGACGGCCTGGGGAGAAACCCAGCCCTTCCCGGAATAGAAGGACTCTGACGAGAAGGCAAAGGCAGCGTGAGGGTTAAGGGTAGAGGACACCGAGGTCAGATGTCCTGTATGACCTTGGGCCCTCAGCTTCTCTCCTGTAAAATGGGGGCATCGAATCCCATTCTCATCAGGTTTTAAAGAACGGAGGTCCATAAGTGCCCTTTTAAGCTTTTATCGCCATAGCGGACGCCCAGAGTCTTCGAAATAAATAAATAAAATCTGCTGTTACAGGTAGTTGGGGGACAGAAGGGAAAAGGTCTAAGGAATGCTACTGGTCTACCTTAGTGTGGTCTTGGAGTTCTAGAGAAAACTTCAGCCCATGGTGAAAAATGAGAAGATGCTGTTGGGGGTGGGGCCGATTGCTAGAATTCTGGATGGTCTGAGATGGGTGCCACTGTGGGGAAGTGCCTTTGAGATCGCAGTGGTAAATGCTGCTGTTCCCTGTTGACCTGGCAACTCTGGACTGGCAGAGAAATTTCCAGAGAGAGAGAGAGTGTGGGAGGCTCTCCTCTGGTTATTTTTTTAAAACGTGTTTCACTTGATGGTTAAATGTTGGTGTTTCATGCTGTCAGCCTCATCTGGGAAGATGGAAGAGCCAACACGAGATTGTCATGAGTGACTTGGTGAGCAGCATCCCTCGAGGGATGTGTAATTATTGTGGCTTGTTAGGCTTGCTAAGTAAAAGGACAGGAATTCTGGCTGAACAAGAATAGATAACTAATTAGTGGAATTAATTGAGAAGAGAGCTCATTAGCAAATAGGATATTAGATTCTCATAAAATGGGTGTGAATTGATGGGTTTAAACCTAGAGGCATCTTCCAGCAGGATCCTCTTTTTTGTCATTTGTGTAAGTGACAGGTGTTTCTGGTCTGTGTCTATGTATCCCCTGTATTTCCATGGTGGTCACCCTTTTGATAAGAAAGGATAGAAGCCAGACTCTCCAACAGAAATTAAACTTACTGACTTCAGATTCCTCAATGGTACATTTTAGGTCAGTGGATCCCCAGTGCTACTACCACGCTTAGAATCCCAAATCCTGTGACACTGCAAGAGGGAACACTTGGGATTTCATTAGTAGCTTCTTAGCAGTAAGCGAGAGAGCAGATCTATTGTGGATTAATAGTGTGCTGTAGAGAATAGAGACAGCAGGGCTGGGATGTGGCTGGGTGTTGAGAGTGGCATTTAGCAGTGTACAAGGTCCTGGGTTTGATGCCTAGCACTGTAAACAAGAAGAGGGGATAGGGAGATGGAGTAAAAAGGAGGAATCTTAGGATTCACATAACTACAGTTATATTTAGCTATTTGGCTGTTTTATTTATCTTGCCTTCTATTTTATGTCTTGCATGCATGCACGGCTGTGCACCACACACATGCAGTGGTTATGCAGACCAGAAGAGGGCATGGGATCCCCTGGACCTGGAGTTACAGATGGTTATGAGCCACCATGTTGATGCTAGGAACCAAGCCTGGTTCTCCCCAAGAGCAGCAGGTGGTGTTCTTTGCTGATTCATCTCACCATCACCTTTCATGCCTTCCTGGTCAATGAACTTCAGTTTTCAATGCTCAGCTTTTAACTGTGCTGTGGTAAATCTTTCCCAAAGGTTGAGGCAGTCGTCAGGGTTTCTGTGCCTTCAGATATAAAAATCTTATTTGAGATGGTTATAAAAACAAGATTAAGTTGTGTGTTGTGGCACATGCCTTTAGTCCCAGCGCTTAGGAGGCTGAAGCAAGAGGATCTCAGTGAGTTTGAGGCCAGCCTGGTCTCCATAGTAAGACAACAGTGAGTTCTAGGACAGCCAGAACTACAATAGACCCTGTCTCAAAAAACTTGAGAGAGAGAGAGAGAGAGAGAGAGAGAGAGAGAGAGAGAGAGAGAGAGAGAGCGAGCGCATAGAGGGTTGGAGAGATGGCTTAGTAGTTAAGAATACTGGTTGTTCCAGAGGACCTGAATTCAATTCCCAGCAAATGCATGGCTGCTCACAACCATCTGTGACTCTGATTCTAGGAGATACATCAACCTCTGCCAGTCTTTGAAGATACCAGGTATGCATATGCATGGTACACAGACATATATGTACACAAAACACCCATACACACATACCAAAATTGGTTTTATTTTTTATTTTGAGACAGGGTCTGTTTGTAGGTCAGATTGTCCCAGAATTCACAGAGGTCTCCTTGTCTCTACTTCCGTGCCGTGATTAAAGGTGTGTGCTGTGTGCCACTGTATCAAGCCACATAAAGAACATGAAGTTGAACCATATGAAATTGTATCTTATAGGTTGTATATCGACCATAGTCTAGTCTAATACGTTTCCAAATAGTCACAGGTCCGTTTTTCTGGCATATTGGTAAGTGGCAGAACTGAACTTCCCCCCAGATATCTCTCTCACCCTGCACTCTCCAGTCCTTACTTTTGATTTGATTTGTAATCCTTATGACCATGTGCTCCAGGGCTAAGAGACATCACTACTCCAGAGTATATCACAACTTAGTGAGACCCTATATCCCAAATGAACTAGAAACTGGAGAGATAGCTCAGCAGTTAGAACATTTTCTGCTCTTCCAGAGGACCTGATTTTGACTCGAAACACCCACCTGGGGAGGCTCACAACTCCCTATACCATTCTTTAGGGGCTCTCAAGTCCTCTTCTGGTCTTTTTAGGGACCTTTACACGCACATGTGCATGTACATGCTCACACACACACACATTATAAACCCCAAGACTATAATTCAGCATTAATCTAGCATGTGTCAGACCCTGGGGCTGTAATTCAGCATTAATCTAGCATGTGTGAGACCCTGGCTTCAGTCCCCATTTTGGGGGCTGAGAGTTGAAAAAGAAGAGGAAAATGAAGAGGTATTTGAGATGTGAGCTACCCTTCCTTGAAGCCCTCCCTTCTCCACAGCCGGAGGAATGTTTCTTTCTCATCACTTTTACCTGCAGTGTTGACATAACCTCTTTTCTGGAGAAAACTTTGATCTTATTTATGACCCTCTGACTAGAGGAATTCAGAGTTCAGTACTTCCAGCCTGACCAGGTCCTTTAAAGGAAAATGGCCTTGAGCTGCTGATAGATGCAGGTATAAAGTGCTGATCTGAAGACATCTCAATAACTATGGTCCCTTCATTGGTAAGATGCATGGGGCTGTCGACCTCTGCTAGTCATTACACCAGGAAGCCTTTGAGAGAGGTGCTGCATGCAGTTAAGCTGAGTGTTCTGTTGAAATTTTACTATTTGAAGTTCTGGTTTTCCATTTCAACCAATTTTTCCTCTGCGTCTTTGACAGCTGGAGAAAGGAAGTGGGGAATGGTTTTCCAGTTTTGGTCTGCTTAGTCCCATGGAGAGTTTGATTTGTGGCTAGTGTTTGAAAGACAAGAAAGAACCAGTTGTTCAGATATCCCTCCTGATTTGACCAAATAACTTTGAAGAAGTACAAAGTTGGTTTCCCTCATTTGGTGTGTGTGTGTGTGTGTGTGTGTGTGTGTGTGTGTGTGTGTGTAAGAGAGAGAGAGAGAGAGTGTGTGTATTGAGGGCTCAGTGAGTAAAGTTCATGGCCTGGGTTTGATCCCATGTGCTGGAAGAAGCTCTGAGTTTTATAATCTCTCCATAACATACAGCAAATAAATAAATACATTTAATAAAAATTAGGGGGATTGAGGTAGGACAGGGTTTTATTTACTCCAGCTTAGGTAAACCTTAAGCTTGCGTATCTGGGATTACAGGATATATATATATATATATATATATCCTGTGGGTGGTGGTGGTGCACTCATTTAGTCTCACCACTCAGGAGGCAGAGGCAGGTGGATCTCTGAGCCCAGCCTTGTAGTGGCAGCTTGTTTTGCCAGTGGATTTGGGCTGCCTGTCTACCAAGGGAGTTCCAGAACAGCTAGGACTACATAGAAAAACCCTGTCTCCAAAAACAAAACAAACAAAAAAGTATACCCCAATTAAGCTAATGAATAATTTAGTATATAGAATGCTAGTAGTTTGTTGACAGTCTTAAAAAAAAATACTGGATTCTAAAAAAAAATTATAGAGAAAGTACATTTTTACATAATCAAATAGTTTTTTTTTAAAAAAAAATAAAATTGGAAATGTTTAGATTTCCTTCAGTCTGTTATGGCAGGAAAAGCCTTTTGTTGTTACTGTCTTCAGAATGTTTTCTGAATGTCTCCATCACTTAATACATGGGATTTTTCTGGAGGAATTACTGTGGGGTTATATGGATTATTTTGCTTTAGAAAATTTAACACCACCTCCTGTTAAGGGTCCCCCCACCCCACTCCTTCCCCAACAGATTGTGTTCTGTTGGGACATTTTCTCATGTAGCTTAGGCTGGCCTCAGACTTGCCCTGTGGCTAAGGATAAACTGAACTTCTGATCCCTTTTCTTCCACCTCACAAAGTTCTGGACAGATGTCTTGAATACGGAGCCTTCTTAGGAGGAATATGTATTTGGAGTGCAGGCTAGATTACAGAAGAAACAGTTCCCCTACTTTCGGGGCGTGGACCATG